AAAAAGCCTGAGGGTTCTACAGTCAGGTGCAAAAAGCTACAGAGCACATGGCCATGGACAACAGAAACCATGGCATGAACATGGATTTCAGCATCCTCTTCCAGTGTGAAGACCTCCTTTCATTGGCTGGATGATACTTACACTTCCCTCATCACCCCCAGTAACATATAGAAGTGTCCTTAATAATCCAGAGGAGAGTATATTGTGTAAGATTGTAAGCAAAAGACAATCTACTCATTGTATCACTGAGTAATATTTTTGAGTCAGTATTATCGAGAATTGGAAACTACATAGCAATGAGAGGCAGGTGTTTTGGATTCTGATCACATATACAATGGTTCTCAACCTTGGCTGCACGTTAGAATCACCTGGGAATCTTTTTTAAAATCCTGATTTCTGGGCCTCCTCCTCCGGAAATTCTGTTTCTTTGTTACTCATGTTGTGGCCTCACCCCATCACAAAGAAACAGAATTTTCAGAGGAGGAGGCCCAGAAATCAGGATTTTAAAAAGATTCCCAGGTGATTCTAATGTGCAGCCAAGGTTGAGAACCACTGTCCTACAGTGAAACAGCCAGGGACCAAGTGAATGCTAGGGATGAGCTGCCTGAAGCCGGTGCTGTTGTCACCTGGCTGCTGGGCCCTGGGCAGGTGCCTGAGCCCCTGCAGCCCTGTTTCTTCCTCCATGAAGTGGTAGTCACAGGCTGTCTCTCACTGTCTCCATTTCTCCTTCCACTACAGTGGCACTGTGCCCAACTGCTCCCCCTCTCGGGCCTATGTCCCCAGACATCCCACACCTTTTCAAATCCGGAAAGAGCTTCATTTCTCCCCTCTCATTGGCTGTGTTCCCCCCCACCGAGGTGCCTTCAAAGCGTCCTTAAGTCCAGGACCCAACTGCTTCTAGACTCTCCAGGGGACCTGCCCTTCCCGGTTTTTGAGCCCCCAACCCTATCAGGCTCAGGGCCTAAGCCCTCCCATGGCCCCAAAGGTTCTAAGGGCAGCCCCTCCACAGCCCACTAGTTCCTCAGTAGGGATTGGCTTAGGCAGATATTCACTTCAAAGTTACTGAGTACCTACTTGTGCCAAACCTGCACAGCCATGGGTGAACCTGAGAAGGGGCGATGAAGGATGGAGAAAAGACAGACAAGAGGAGAAAGCTGGGCTAAGTGGGGCACTCCTTTCTGATGAACAGACAGCACCATGGCTTGCAGGCCTAGTCTTTATTTTATAGCCAGATTCCACGAGGCAAAGTAAGGGTGTGGTCAAGAGGTTTACAATGTTCTGGCAGGCTTCGAATCTACTCAATTACATGCACCTGATCAAGCTTTGTTTACTTGCTGAACCTCCTCAGCCCATATCACTCAGCCACGTGGGACCACAGGTTCGGACCATAAGGTTAAGCTTACAGCTATGGCCTGCAAGGAGGCCTGGCTGTGGGCGCCAGCGCTTGGCCTCGCTCTGCCTTCTGCCTGAACCCAACCTGGCCAGCATTCCCTGTGACCTTAGCACCGCTCCCTCAACCCTAATCCTTGCCACTTTCCCCAGGTTTGCAGCCCTGGTGGCATGCCTCTCCGAGAACCCCTGCCCATCTCCAGGGCCCCTGTCCCTACAATTCATCCCTGAGGCTGTCCTTGTACACCCCACTCCTTCACAAAATCCCCAGGACTAAGCATCTTCCAGTTGAAGAAATTCCCCACCTGCAGACCCTTGAGCACCCATCCAATTGGAAAGCTCCCCATCCCATTTCTGAAGCACTAAGGCTTCCTAGTGCTTGGCAGCCTGCCCTCACCATCCATGCATTCTGGCCTTTCACTCATGCCACCGTTTGCACATCCATCCCACTCAGGGATCTACAGAGCCTCAGTCTTGTGTTTCCCAACCTACCTACCCTATCCACCAGTTCAGGAAACCCCCAGCGCAGGAATGGAAGCTGCCCTCTCACCTTTAGAGCTGGAAATATTGAGAGTGGGGTTTAGCAGTGAAGGAGGTTCAGTGTGTCCACCCTGCCCTTAGCGCTGAGGCTGACCTTGAGGCCCCTTGAGCAACCTGGGGCCACAGCTTGGGTCTTGAGGATTGCCTAGGTCAGTGGTCGGCAAACTGCGGCTCGCGAGCCACATGCGGCTCTTTGGCCCCTGAGTGTGGCTCTTCCGTAAAATACCACGTGCGAGCACGCATGTACAGTGTGATTGAAACTTCGTGGCCCATGCGCAGAAGTTGGTATATTGTGGAAGAGCCACACTCAAGGGGCCAAAGAGCCGCATGTGGCTCGCGAGCCGCCGTTTGCCGACCACTGCCCTAAGGAAAACCACCTGTCTTGGTCAGGACTGATGACTTGTGTGATCATAAAGCATCTCTTCAGAAGCTGACATTTCAAAGGTGATGCCCAGGATAAGGTGCTAAACATTTT